CAGACACAGACTGTTTTGTAATGCATTTAATCAGGTAATGAGACAGAGAGAAAAATAAAAGTGAGAAGGATTTAGCATTTTGTTTAAATGAAGAGAAAGATGGATGATTGGAGATTATTGGAGAAGGTTTCTGCTGAATTGAGTTAAGCCTCATTCTGCTTTTCAGGCCCTTCCTTCTCTTTCTCAGGGTCTGCCAAAAAGAAAAAAAAACGTTAAATTAATGTTTTCTTCAAATCAAGAATGCTTCCAGTCATATTTAGAGCAGTCTAGGACATATATTCTAATAAACACTGACCTTTGAGCTTGATAGGACCCACAACCAGAGTTTGGCTCTCATGCTCAGACTCCAACTCCCTGGCTACACGTCTACTGCATCCACGGCGGCAACGGGAATTGAAATCCGAAGCAGGGCAGATCACAACTTTGCACTGGAGGTACACAGAATCTGTTCCTCGCAGGAACTGGAAGGCCCTGAATGAAAAACGGGCCCTGTACTGGGAGCCGGAAATGATTGGCTGGTAGGTCTCATCAGAAGTGCAACTGTGAGAGTGTTAGAGAAAACAGGGAAATTTTACTTCTTGAGAAATAAAAAACAAGCACAAAAAGATTATTTGGTGTGTTACTTTTTTCTTGGCTTACCCATCTCGAACTAAATAATATGGTCTACTCTCAAAGTCGAAAGGTGATGGGGAGGCCACACAGGTGTCCAGGAAGAGAACAAGGCTACTGTCAGGCCTTCTCAAGTTCACTTGAACATACAAGTCCTGGTTGAGATCTACTAGATATGGGAAGTGAGTCACCTGAATGTAAGAAAAATGTAAAATATTAACGTAGCATTTCCAACAGAAATGTTTCTAATGCATTTCAGCACCACCCAAACATACCTGATAATAGAAGCTGCTGGATGTGTAGAAAGCCATGGTTGTATTGAATCGACCTGAACCAATGATGCTGCTGTTCCCCCCATGTTCCACAACAAAATAAATCTGAGACACAGAATCCGACTCCATCAGACAGGAGACATTCATCTTTAGGTAAGACTGACGTGTGATCTCTCCATGGGTGGAGGGCCATGCACGGAGGAAGTTGGAGTACACAATTCGGCCATTGACAAACTGTTGGAAGGAATTCAGGAATCAATCATTTAGATCCTGAAAGTTAAACAACTTCAAAGAATAATAGTGGGAAATGTTCAAATGTTGTTCATGTTTTAAACAATTGTTTACCTGTTTCATGTTTCCACAAGTGTTGAGGGGAAAATTAAAAACCACGTTGTCACTGGAAATCTGTGGCCTGCAGTATGGATCATTAAGGTACAGATTGTGGCCGTCATATCCCAGAGAGTTCAGGTAAGCTCTATTGATGACAATGTTCATGTTGTCTGAGGAGCAGTCAACACTACCTGAAAGAGGATTAGGTTCAATATTTAGTAAAAAAGATTATTAATTAATATTTTCAACCCCCTGAAATATTGTGGCCTAAAGTTCTTTCGAAAAGTGTTCATGGCTCTTAGGGTTTTTCATAGTTTGAACAAACTATATCAAGAATAAATGTTCAGACTATTAAAGTTTGAAGTGACTACAGTTTAAAAAAAACTGAGTGCTGCAAATCTGTCTCTCAAAAGACTATCACAAAACACTCCCACAAGGACATTTGATTCAACCCGCTTATGTGCTTGAAGCAGAAGCAGCAGCTTCATGCTTGTCTCCTCCTTATTTGGGGCTGATCCCAAGCCAACTACATCGGTCAGACCCCATGAATGGAAGGTCAGGCAGGTCATAGGAATCTGAACTTTCTGACTGCAAAAGTTAAGTTCATAATCTCAGCAAACAGACTCTGTAATAAAGACTTTCTGTACCATTTTATTTCTGAATTTACAGGACACTTTTAGATGCCAGAGACTGGAGTCTTACATCTGATAGGAACAGACATTAGCTCCCCTGCTACAAGCCAGGCATGCTAAGTTTATCTTAAATTTGAAGCCCCCTCATCTAAGGCAAGCCTCTTGGATTGCATTATTGGTGTGAATAAGACCTAATTTCAAACTCTTCAAGATGGTTGGTTGGTTCTGAAACATTAATCCATGCCAAAATGTAATATCAACGTATAATTTGATTTATTTTAGTTTTCTTTTAATTTTATACATATTATCTCAGTTTTATTGAGTTTTAATAGGTTAGTCATGCATGTTTGAGTAGAATGATTGTTCTTAATAAATTCTTATATTATTTTTAATTGCAGTTGTTGTGAATTTATTCCATATGGGTGCAGATTTATCAGTTTGACCATGATTTGAGCTTGATTCACCCTTTAATTTGTTTCATTTGCCTAACACACACCCAGTTGACATGTTTTCACAGAACAATATATGATACTCCAAAAGTTGCCTTACTGATAAACATATTGCAAAACCCCACTGCGGTGGACATTACACATAACATATTGTGGCATTCCTGTGCTGGCAGTAAATGCAACAAGTGGATGCAGTAAATATTTGAAAGATGTTCCAATCAAATGAGACTGGAAGGGAGGCAAAGGGTCCTAGGTTATCCTTGAAGAAAATCCATTAGAAGCTGCAGAATGAGTCAAAATATACACCCAGAGTTACAATGAAAGGGTTTAGATGGGTGCAAGTGGTCTCAAACTCTGATTCTGCTGTGCCCTACAACTTAAAAATTTCTACCAAGCTTCATTTATATTCAGTCAAGCTTTACATGCTCTCCTATCTAATATTGAGTCAGGTGGGTTGATACAGAGATGCATCGAATGTTACAGGACACAGATCCTCAAGGACCAGCATTTAAAACCACTGGTTTAGACAAATGTATGAAACTGAGAATCCAAATGTATGAAACAGAGAAACTGACAAGGCATGATGACTGATGTGTGCAGATATTCTCCATTTGATCTGACTGGTGGGTTACAATGAATATTGGAAGATATTTGTGAGCAAGAATTATTTGGTATGACTTATGTTTAAAAGAAAATAATAAATAAATCCATTGTAAAAATAATTTGCCTCAAATAAAATGTAAAAATCAAAGTCGATTGAGCACTAAATCCGAACTGTACCTGAGCCGGGTTTAAGAGAGCTTATAAACTCAGCCCTGAATCCTCGGCCGACCATAGAGCTGTCTGTCCGGAAGAGCACAGTCATGTAGTTGGAGGTGGAGTGGAAAGAGCTCACACTGTTGTTGCACACTCTCCCCAAGTATGGTGAATAAACAGACGGCCCATCATAGAGTGCAATATAGTCACAGCTGCAACAGTTCTCCAACCTGTTTGGCAAAATGACAATACAAATTAATAGGAATTAAGTACTCTTTTACAAAGATTTGTACAATTGTTAAATCAAATTCAGCTGTTTGCCACAGATCTCTTTACTGTATATTCTCCATCCTTATATTACAGCTTGATTAGATTGTTTTCACTTACTCAAGGTAAGAAAATTCCAGGAAGACCCTTTGGTCGTATGCAGCTCTGAGCTGCCACACACAGTAGGAGTTGTCGCTGTAGTGGCCAGGATGGTTGGGGCTTGTAAGGGTGCCAGAGCCAAACAGGGAGCCTCCACACGACCCTGATGAAAGAAATCAAGATCATCTTGGTAAATAATTTGATTTTAATCATGATGCTTTATTTAATATCCCACCCCAAAGTGAAAAAAAAATAAAGACTTACCCGAGGGTGTTGTTTCAACTAAACAGTAGGCTGTTTGAGGCTACTGTTTAGGCAACACAGTCTAAGGCGCGCATTTTGTCTAATCAGCATATTGATATGGCACACTTTTGAGGTGGGATGGATTATCTCAGCAAAGGCGAAGTTCTGACTTTCACAGATTTAGACTGGTTTTGTGAACAAAATTTTAGTGAAATGGTTATATTGTGTATGTGGAAAAAATGTTAGATCTTTGAGTTCATCTCATAAAAAATAGGAGCAAAGCCAAAAGTGTTGAATTCATATTATTGTTGAGTCTATTTATACCACCCTGCTCTTTTTGATATTTAAACTTTAATCAGTTATACCAGCTGATAAATTTAAGAGATAACTTTTTAGAATAATCTCCAACTCCAAATAGGTTAACATCTGGAGATATACAGTTAACTGCACTTCATTGTTTAAAGGTTTAATGTAATTACATTTTTAGGTTTAAGGTTGTTTTTTATTTTAACTTTTAACTTTTTTGTCACTCTTATATAATAACAATCACCCCAGATACAAATATTGCATGTTTATTCTAAACACAGCATGTATTTTTTTTTCAGTCCATATGTTTTTTCCTGTATAATATTAAAGAGAAAAAGAAATCATACCTGTGGTGGGCGCCACAGTGGTTGAACCACAGTAAGCTGCATGAATCAGGACATAAAGTGATTATATCATATATTACATCGAATTATTAGATATGGATGGAGAATAAATTGATGCTGCAGATTTTGTGCTTACAGTAGTAGTCATAACAGCAGGTTCCATTCCACTGACATGAGGAGGAGCAGGAGCAGCTTCCCATATCATAACCACAGTTGTAACGACAGGAAGGTTGAGCTGTGAGAAAGGAGTGAGGTGAATGAATTAAAAAAATGATCATGTCATCTATTTTC